GCATTCCGTACTTGTACCGATTCTGAATGAATGACCACTATAATTGTTGAAACATATCACAAATGGGATAAGGTGGTATATAAAGTATGATATGAAACGATCCCGTGATAAAGGCTGTACTCCTTTTGTAATGTAATAGTGACTTTTTACATTGGGGAAACGGTTCAACCAAATATAAATAAACAAAGCAACATGTAAGAAGCGTGTTTGACCCTAAACCCGAAGACATTCATATTCATAACTAATAACAAATTTAAGCTTGGAAAAGAATGAAAATGATCAAAAAGCAAGCTAAATGTACAATGTGAAAGACCACTCAGGTGTATCTTCATATTTAAAAAAAAAACAGTTCAAATGAGGTCGTGAATAAGTCTAGCCAAGGAGAAACCGTTTTTAAAACTGAAAAGTAAACTTTACAAAAATTTACGCAATGTGTCATTTTTATAAAGCACCACCCATGTACTTTTTATACCAAAGAAAATCTCAGTTTTCCTTGCCAAAACAATATAGATTTATGGGTTCGATATCTAAAGTTCGAAGGAGAAAGTCAAGATACTAGACTATACTGCGGACCCTTCGGGATGCAATCGAGGTCTATGAATATTCAACTGAATCGAAGTGACATCTATAATAGATAGATGAATACATACATAAGGACTTGCGGCTGTGTCTAAGTATATCTACGATTATGTAATCGTATACCCCAAAAAAATCCTTAGTGGTTTCGATGTTAACGTAGCAAATATATCCGATACGAACTAGATAAAAATACGTATAGTTAACTAATAAATAGTATACGATATGTCAATGCGTTTAGCATTTTTCTACGATAAACGTCGTTCACGTTCGTATACGATTTTATTGACATGTTTAGAAATCGTGTACATAATATCAAAATCGTATACACTAATCGTAGTAAATACCATGAAATCGTACGTAGGGGTTTTGAGACAGAAAGTAAACCATACATCGGAGAAATACAAGAAGTTGAATGGAGAGTACATGCAACTGAAATAGCCTCTGGTAACAAAGGCGAGGAATCAGGGAGGTCACGATACACTTTTTTAAAATACTTTGTTTTGATGTCAGAAATAGGATTAAAATATTGCTAATTCTCAAAAACTTCTTTCAATTTTGTTTACAAACATTGCTGACTGTAAAGTTTTACAACATAAGTCTAGCCAATATACCCTAGTTTCCTTGGTTCACAAATAGGGGTCGGGATTTATTGGAAAGGTCTATTCTGTCCCTCAAAGTGTGAATTGAGAGCAGGACGGTAATACCCGGGGATCGAACTATTACACACTGTGTTCCAGTTTAACGTGTAACGTAACCTCCCTATTGATCACTAGTCAGTATCAAGATGCGCCAACGACCGTTACCTTCTCATCTAAGATGGTGGACGGAAAATGTCGATTTCGATATTTTTGGTTTTCGTCGAATTAAACTTCTTTATAATACTCCAATACGCGATAACGTTTAGTTTAGTTCAGTTTAGTTACCTCCCGTGTGGCGAGCTCTCATGTATGGTACAACTTCGTCTACATCCGGGTTCTTTCGCATTGGATTACACAGGAGTTCTATTTTCAATGCCGCAATGCGACTCTATGAAACATTTATGTAGAGTTGCATTTGCACAAACAATAGATATGTATGTAATTAAGATACATAACAAGGCTTTCTGAACTATAATCCCCAAATCCGAAAAAATCTGGAGTTGAAAATGAAATGAAAATGAAAATTTGTCCCTTCTAAAGCGATGCATCATGGGAGATATTTATGTAAATTACCACCTGAACTCTTATCGCGAATAGGAGTATTGACGTTATGCTTTGATATTTGAACTTGATAAGCTTTATATATCATGCAAACTTTGGAGTATGACAACCTGTTCTTAAATCATACGAGGGCACCATAATTCAACTACTAGTATATGTTACACCACTTAAGGGAAGGTAACTGAGATTTTTGATTTTGCAAATGATACGATAACTGATCTGTGGTGATGCGGAACGTTATGAGAGTTTATAATCGAGGGCCAGATCACATAGCAAAGGTATATTACAAGTGGGGGCTCATATTATCTCGATTCCCAATTTCAACATCGACACCTGTCCCGACATTTAGTTCCCGTTTTTGATAAAAAAAATGTTGCTATCTGGGACGTCTATTGCATGCTATCGTATCGTATGGTTCAGGATAAATGCTCCACTTTCCAACCGTAATGTACAAAATCTGCACATTATAGCGAAGTGCATCATTTTGGTCTGAAACAAAAAGATCTATATTATTAACTTCATACAGTAACCGCATCATTTTGGAAACAGACGTGTCAGTTATCGTAGCATGCACTTCCAGTAAACTTCCCTTAAGCGGTGTAACATATAGTTAAATGTTGGCGTCCACTTTTGATTTACGAACGAACGGTCACACTCCAACGTTTCCATGTAAGGCTTATCAAGCTCAAATATCAAAACATTACGTCGATTATAATGTAGTTTAATTCGCCGAAAACCAAAATTATCAAAATCGACACTTTCCATCCGCCATCTTAGATGAGAAGGTAACGGCCGTTACCGCATCTTGATACTAACTAATGATTAATTAAATTGAGGATTTGGTCTTCTCAGCGAAGTTAATCGTCAACTGGACTTGATATGGCGATGATTCAGGCTACAGTATATCTCATGAAATCATGAAACAATAGAAATCTCCTCTTGACACGCATATCGAGCTCCTTTGACAGAGTAGGCTGGTCCTACGAATATGAATGAACCTCAGTTTTGCACAAAATTTCAATATCAGTATGTGACACTTCAGTTAATATTTGTTGATTGAAATTCAGATTCGTGTTTGACTATTATGATGTTATGCATCAGTAATTTTTACCATCAATTGATAATGGAATTCATTACTTTTATGTTTTCTCGAGTAATATTCGTCACACATGATGTATTTGGTAACTCAATTATTCCTTTTACGTCAATTTTCCGTGTAACAGATAGTAAATGACGTAGCCAGTCAAATGTTGATATCATTTCAGAAACTTAAGTTCAACCGGGTCAGTGGTTGGGGTCTCCCATCCGAAAAAAAATCTCTTAAATCTCTAAATCTCGATTTTCTGCCTAATTTTAGATTGTTGCTTTTAAGCAATCTTATGATTGCCCTCGTTGGAAGACTCCTAGGGAAAATTTTCCGGTTTTGTACCAAATATGCAAGCACCAATTTTGGAATGTACTCTAGCAAGCTGTACTATTAACTTAATCGTCTTTTAGAATGTAGACCTTGTCGTTGCTGTAGATTAAATCAATGCCCCAACAAGACCACAGTACTCAGGTCCCTCGAAGGACCATTGTAGTAGGTTAATGAAACCCTAGAAGAAAATAGCTAAGATCAGAAAGACAAATAAAAATTACAACGACAAATGGAGACTGTGGTACCGCGAGCCTTCAAATGATTAAAAAGTTCAAAATAAAATCCATATATTACTGATTTAGCTTACTTTCCAAATGTACAATTTTCAATTTGATTTATACATACACCATTTCGCCGTCGGTGTATGAATTTAAGATGTTCTGTTGCGATAGTGATATGAGTTCTTCCTGTACTTCATTCTAGTTGTTCATAATAAGAGTTCTATAGCTAGTTCTTTGTTTTAGTTGTTAAACAGAAAATATATTTGTGCTGAAAATGGGTAGGACTTGATCAGCCGGTCACAAAAACGGAATCGCGTTTCGTAACAAAATGGCTTAGACCGGCAAACACCTTTTTATTTTCATGATCAACAGATCAATGATTTCACGAAATATAGGGAGAACCTTTACGACCTTTTTGTACATATTTCGGTGCCTTTACCATATTAACACGTTACCCGTAAATCAATTATCAAAACACATTGCGTTTATCTCAGTATACTAGAATGTTTTACGTTTCTGCAAGAACACAAGGAGGTCAGTTTCATGTTGCACTGCTGACACGTCCACCCGCGAAACTAATACTAATGGATCTATTTATCCCCATCATTAAAATGTTTCTAATTAGCTTGTTCTTAGTATGACTATGATAAAACAACTGTTTTGTTATTATAACTACAAAGCTAGTGATATATCCTCAAAAAACATAATTTATTAAAAAGAACCTGCCTACCTTCTGAAATATTGTTAATTTCGCGGACTCATGTGACAGCTTTGACGTATGGGACTAAGTTGTTCTGACGCCGAATTTGAAAGTTATGGTCGCGACCTAAGGTAGAGCTGCATCAAAGACGTAAAATTTCTGCTATGAAAATGAAATCAGTTTTGTCGCGAAACTGACACGACGTGCTTTATACACCCGATATCATGATAATATGGACTTTTCAAAATGTTAGCTTTCGTAAAGAGTGGCCAGCCTTCGGTAAGGTAGCGTTAGTATAAGCTAAATCGAGTAAAACGGTTTATACCATCTTTAACCGTTCCGTTTACGTTTACGTCAGATTTTGGCGTCTGTCGAAGTATTGAGATTCTTTTTATATCTCATGGAAAATGGGGAATATTGGCCGTTGTTAAATTGGTTTGAAATCTCGTTAAATCTCGCTGAATCCTCATTGACACAATGATAAAAAAAGTCATTAACTCGTTTAAGGTTCACTATACAGTTAAATATCAATTCAAATTGACATACTTGATATATGTTTAGAGTTTTGATAGTTTTCTATATATGTTCTATGTATATCATTCTGGGCCTACCAACACCCCGCGCTGCCATATATTTATCTATTTCTCTTTCTTTATCTAGCAAATGTTTAATTTCCCGGTCAAAGACTTCGCCATTTTGTTATACCGAAACGGATCCGTTACCTATACCTGGATAATCACAGCTCAATAATCATGAGTAGCCGGAGGTATTAGATATTCAGAAAGAATCATGAATAAATCATAAATTCTGATTTACATTAATTTAGTAGATGAAACAATTATTTTTAGCACTACTTTTATAGACTTCTGTATATATAAATAGCAATGAGTGGACACAGCATCATTACATTTTCGCAACTCAGCTTGGAACTTACAAGGTAAGTTGATTTTACATATAGTTTTACGCTAACAACTTTATATCACGGTTTATGTTTAAGTATTCAGAATAATGTAGGTATAGTCTATAACACGATTACTTTTATACTTTATTGACTTTAATCTTTTAAATTCAAGGATCGGGATGGTAATTGATTCAGGTTGCGACTACTTTTTTTATGTTTAAAAGGCGCTCTTATTTCGAAATAGAACTGAAGGATTGTAGAGTCTGAAAACATTATTCAAAAATTGTTCCATTATTTCCACATTGTCACAATGGCATTTAGCTGATATTGAGAAATCAGAGGTTGAAGATCTGGGACTTTAGTAGTTTCAATGTTTTCTCATGGGTAATCATGTGTCATGTAGGCCTTGCAGAGCAAAAATCACTGATGAACAGTAAATAATGACACATCTTTTTATGGTTTCTTGTTTTTGAAGTATCAAAATAACCATGAAAACTGAATTATTATTCACTTCCATTTGTTATTGTCTCATATGCCACCCTATGATTAGTGATCGTACCAGTTTCGAATGGCGCTGGTGACGACGATACACGACGCTTAAAAACCAAAGAATATTAGTACCATACTTTTTGAAATTGTGTTATTATAGCATATGATAAGGTGATGATACTGTCAGATTTTATGCTGTTTTAGAAGTGAAAGATGTCGAATTATGCTTGCCGTTTGTTTTCAATCCAATAAAACGCATAATTGAGATAAAACAGTTGTTTAAAGATACAATTTGAATCAACCGCAATAAATTACGATCAAATGTTATCAAAATTGTCAAAATGTCAATAATTCCTGATCGATGACACACAAAGATATATGTACATATATGAAGTTTTTATGTTTTATTCTGGAGACAATTTCCAACATGGAAAAAAAGTATTTTAACGAAATTCCTAATTTTGATAGGCTTTTTTCGAAAACACTCCACTGTCAATAAAATACAGGTTTTTGCTTGAAAATTGAACTTTTAACGTCATTTCAGAGATTGTCAGCTTTTGAAATTGTTGGCCGCCGAAAGTATTTCCAGATGTATTTGATGCCATATTAATTATGGCTGATGGCTGTTGTTCCTTTTTGTCATATTTAATAATATTATAAAAACTTACATTAGCACGCGGTACTAACTCACCGGGGCAAAAAAGAAAAGCTTCCAAATATGACATCAAACTGATGTCATATTTGGAATCTACATGTAGAATTACATCTAGAAATGTGGTATTGAAAATTTAATTTTCTTTGAAAATGTGACTTCTAGGTCGGGGGAATTCCCCATAGAGCCCATGTTGTAAAATCACAAAAAGTGAAATATCTTTTCTTGTGTTGGACAGATAATATTTTCTTTTACTGGGCATATTTTAATTTGTATAACCATCAGATACAAAAGGGTAGTATGAAAAGTGAACCACTAAAACTGATGAATATTCAAGTTAAGGGAATATTGTAATACCCTGCCATGTTATTTCCCCCGACAAGCCACCTGGTGGCGAAACTACTCGCATCTGAGTAATTGAAGATGTTTTAAATGCATTGATTCGCTTTCTATCGAAACAAGTTTTTAACAGTATGCTGCAAAATGATACCATCGACCACACTCACTTTCCAGGGGTAGGGTACTATAAAGTCACATTAAAAATCATAAATAGTACATTATCATTATTATAGTTGTATTACAATATCAAACAAAGTTTGAACTAGATTTTAGAAAACAATTTTGAGCTATTTAAGCTGCCATCTTTTGCTGGAAGCTACAAATATAAAATAGGTGAGACTTAAAAATGACTATTTAATGACACTTTAAAGCCCATCACCTTATATTTTCTTACACCTACTAGGTTACTCTAACATACCGTATTGCCAAAAGTTACTTTTTGCAACCTTCCGGCAAAAGTGTCTAGTGAAAACATGACTGCATCATTTAACATGTCCGAGGTACTAAATGTGCAACAAAATGATAAAAATACAGGGTGGTCCAAAAAAGTGGCCCCCTGCAACAGGCTATATTTTCCTTAATACATGCATGAATTTGCTCATATTATCACATCTTGTAGAGAAAGGTCTAACATTTTTGTTGACACCATAATTTAAACTTAAACAAACATGCCTCAAATAAGATTTTGTGCAAAATTTTACCGATGTGATTGACGGAAATTGTTGATACACATTAGATGATCTTAAAAAACTTTCAGTGAGAGATTATAAGTTTAAACCCTACCATATGACAAATGGGACACTATTTGAGCAGAAAACACATTTCACACTTCTATTGACCATTTTGAAGCTGTTTTAACCATTCAACATTTTAGAGGTATGTTATCTACACAAACAGGTAGAGGGGAGCAAAGTTACCCCTTGTGACCCAAAATCTGAGAAGCCCTTCATACAAAATCTTACAAAAATCAAAAGGAAATTTAATATTCAGTGTTTTGAGCCATATTTCATTAGAATTGGAATTTTTAATGTGCATTTTACTACTACAGGGTAACCATAGTTTTGGTAATGGTTTACTAATTTTAAAAGCATATCTTCTAGCATGTGTATCAAGCGGAAGTAATACAATAAGTGAGTTATCATTAATTGGAATGGTATTATTATATTCCTTATAAATGATGACAAAAAGGCAAAATCAATCATATCACATACTACTTGTAGTTCTTACCATCAAATCGATCTGTTATAATGCATATTAAACAATATGGCAGTAGATCTTCAAATTCAAGAATTGAGCTGAATTGTAAGATAATAGATAAATTGCTAATCCCTTATAACTGTATAATCCCTTTCTCTGAATCATACTAAATTATAATATTTCGGTATGCTTATTTTAGCTGCTGTAGTTTAGGTCACTTGATGAGATATTCAGTAACATGCTGTCACTAGAGACAAAGCTTGACACTAAATAATCACTCGAAATAAACGATATGAATTCTTCATATTTTCTTATTTTGTAATACATCCATTCTTGAAAATTAGCATTCAAAGCTTTTCAATGCAATCATGAATTTAGTGATCTGACCCTTAAAATACTTTTCAGGGGGAATAGTTTGTCCACATGTAGCCCTTAGGTGTAGCATCTTTTTCAAGCCATATTTTCCTAGGCCTGCTGGAATACCTATTTCAGTGTGCAAGTTTAGCATTGTTTTCCCATTGATCATTTGAGTTCTCATGTCAATAACATATGGAAATAAAAATGATAGAGTAGTTTATTTTATTGTAAAAAATCAAAAATAAAACAAGGTTTGGTCAGGAAGGGAACAGGTGAAATCCTTGGGATATATGAGTTAATTAATTATAAGTTAGAAACATATTCATGTTTCTACAATTTAGGGTAACCCTGTGTATTATTCTACTGTGCATGGTTATACCCATGCAAAATATTACAAAATGTTATTTACTTGTTATCATCTTTCAATGTGACAACATCAGTCTTATCTTCAAATTTGTATATAATAGTTTGCCTGTAAGGTTGGACAAGCTGTCTATTACGTTGATAGTATAATATGTTGATTTTGCAAAGCTCTTATGGGCTAATTCTACAATATGTACAGTAACATATATGTAAGGGTACCAGTATGTAGTCCAGTATGTAGTAAACAAAGAAGTATTTTGGTCAACTCAATACATCTGATAAACACTACATGAAGTGTTTTCTATGCAATGATTATATACAGGCTGCTTATTCATTGTAACTGCGAATTTCAAAAGCTTCCAAATTGTGTGGAATAGAGCATGCAATGTTTTTCAGTTTCAAGCAGGTTTTAGTACATTCTGACCAATTGTATTTTCAGACTTATTCATTTCATGATTATGTAATAATGACCTGCTTATCTGTTTAAAGATATGCTAGGCAGATAAGTAGGTCAGTATTACATAATCATGAAATGAATAAGTCTGAAAATACAATTGGTCAGAATGTACTAAAACCTGCTTGAAACTGAAAAACATTGCATGCTCTATTCCACACAATTTGGAGGCTTTTGAAATTCGCAGTAACAATGAATTAGTGCCTGTTTATAATCATTGCATAGAAAACACTTCATGTAGTGTTTATCAGATGTATTGAGTTGACCAAAATACTCCTCCTTTGTTTACTATATACTGGACTACATACTGGCACCCTTACATATATGTTACTGTACATATTGTAGAATTAGCCCATAAGAGCTTTGCAAAATCAACATCTTATACAAGCAACGTAAAAGACGGCTTGCCCAACCTTAAAGGCAAACTATTATAGACAAATTTGAAGATAAGACTGATATTGTCATATCGAATTATGATAATAAGTAAATAATATTTTTGTAATATTTTTGTAATATTTTGCACCGGTATAACCAGTCCCAGTAGAATAAAACACAGGTTACCCTAAATTGTAGAAACATGAATATGTTTCTAACTTATAATTAATTAATTCATGGAATCCAAGGATTTCACCTGTTCCCTTCCTGCCCAAACCTTATTTTATTTGTGATTTCTTACAATAAAGTAAACTACTCTTTTTGACATCTTATCATTTTTATTTCCACATAATATTGACGTGAGAACTCAAATGATCAATGGGAAAACAATGCTAAACTTGCACACTGAAATAGGTATTCCAGCAGGCCTAGGAAAATATGGCTAGAAAAAGATGCTACACGTCTACAGGTGAACAAACTATTCCCCCTGAAAAGTATTTTAAGGGTCAGATCACTAAATTCATGATTGTGTTGAAAAGCTGTTGAAAATAATTGTGTTGAAGAATTAATATTTAGCATGTTACTGAATATCTCATCAAGTGACCTAAACTACAGCAGCTAAATTAGAATAATTATATAAGCATATCGAAATATTATAATTCAGTATGATTCGGAGAAGGGGATTATAGAGTTATAAGGGATTAGTAATTTATTTATTATCTCACAATTTAGCTCAATTCTTGAATTTGAAGATCTATTGCCATATTGTTTAAAATGCATTATAATCGATCGATCCGATGGTAAGAACTA